GCTTATTTAACAAACACAGGTTGGCTTTATTTTCATTCAACCAAATTAGTCCTAAAATACATTTTATTTTAAGTGCATTATTTTGAGTTATTACAAAGAGAGATCACCATTCTCCGAAAACCTGTTTTGAGATTCCTATTTATACCCACCATGGCCAGTCCTCAGAATAAAATAAGCAAGAGCACATGAATACGGTTTTATTGGCTTTCATTGAAAATCCAAGCTCTTTCTAAGACCACCACACATTTCATTTCATTTATGGTACACTATCTGTAAATGCTTACTTGTTACACCAGAAAATATACGATATATCACCTCATTTTTGCTTTTGTACCCAGCCTGTATGCTCTTGAAGGTAAATCCTGGCCCCTTATTCATGAGTGTTGCCCTGATCCAGCATGCCATTTCTGCAACTGGTAAGCCTCAGCTTACCAACAATCAGCAAACCACAGTGATGTTGGCTATTTCATGCCTGCACAGAAGGACCATGTTTCTGACACCATTGACAAGACCCTGAAATACTTCAAATTCTCAGAGTGAACTATAAGACATTCCTGTGGGGTCCAGTGCCCTATATTTACCCACACACAATCTGTCTAGCATGTCCAAGACAAATGACTAAGATCTAGAGGCTTGTTCAGCTTTCCCAATTTCTCCAATAAAATGTATTCCTGTATTAGTTGTATTATCTTTCCATGCTGAATACATGGGATTTTTTTTTTTATTTCCACCTCACCTTCAAAATGTAGGATCTGTGATGCTTTAATAGCCAGCAGACCTGAATGAACAATTAGCCACAGGAACATATTGGAATCATTTTAATGGCTCTACTCACTACCCTCTAATACTGGGGTCTCCAAGCTTTGTAAAAAAGGGACAGTTTATTGTCCTTCAGACTTTAAGAGGGCCAAACTGTGGGCAGCAAGAATAGAATTTCTTCTGGCATCAGTGGGAATAAACAGTGGCAGGAATTATGCCCATTGTTGTTGCCATAGTGTCTTGTTTCAGTGGGATGAATGGGTCCCCAAGGGCCAGATAAAGGCAAGTAAATGACCACATCCAGTCCCTGGGCAGCAATTTGGAGACCACTGCTCTAATATATAGACTATGCCCTTGCATACTTATGTTGAGTGTTGACATGTAGGATGTAGGATGCTGGCAGTGCTGACCTCTCATGAAAATACTAGTTTAGTGGATAAAATGTTGATTCAGGGGCTTTAGTAATTCCAAAAATATGTATGCAGATTATTTCTAATTTTTCCCTAACTTTCTAAATTAGCGTGTTTCTGGGTGTGTCTGAAACAGGGGTGGACTGACCATTTGGAACCTTGGGCACTGCCCGAGGACCCGGGGTCAGTAGGGGGCCCCATGAGATGCCCCTGGTACCTTTTTCATAGGCTTTTTTGAGTTTGGGCAAGGACACAGGGGCCCCATGATCCCCTATTGCCCGGGGGCCCCATAAGTTGTCAATCCGCCCCCTGGTCTGAAAGTAGTGAAGCCAGAAAAAGCCCAGCAACTAAAGCCATAGATTGATCGAAATTTGTCCAGTTCAGTAAGAACTAGACAAATTTCAATCCACGTGGATGTTTCTGTTCAACAGAAGTTGATCGTTAGACTTCTTTTGAACGGGAATGCTTAAAATCTTTTGTCAATTAGTGGCTGCAGACAACTGTCCAATTCTGACAGAGACAGTCCTACTTTTAGAATACAACGTCTCAACGGGACTGAATGAAAAAAAAAAAAAAAAACATCATCTATGGTGCCTCTGTATTTCTCTCAGTGCAGGTTTTCTTTGAAATCAATAAATATCAATTTCATATCCTTAAATTCAAAAGAAAAAAGGAAAGAAGAAAAAGATAAAGCAGGGAAAAAGCATAAAATTGATTTATACCGTACATTCTTAAAGGTCGCAACCTAAAAAGATCTCCTAAAATGTCTAAAACTTCTATAATACTCTCATACTTATCAATGTAGTCCAAAGTCCAGGATGTGTAGGTCCGACAATTAGGACACCAAAGTCTGCTAAAAGTTCTATAAAGGGGGTTCTAAGTTCTTGGATGATTGCACATTCTCTGCTAAGAAAAGTCTGGCACAGTAGGTCACAACCTATGAGATGCTCAAAAGGTATGTCCAGAAAAAAAATAAGTTAAGCGCAAGTAAAAAAAAAATGTTAGATGGTAGAATCACATGAAAATGAATGGCTAAGACCTTCTGTGAACAACATATTAGAGATACTGTAGAAAGCTAATAAGAAGGCAAGGCAGTATAACCTAATACAGGAAGAAATCAAAAGAAAAGAGGTTAACAAACCCATATCACTGGTTCTAAGTCGTTGAACTTGCAGGAGTCACTGACAGACAAGTCTGGTGTGTTAATTCCCATTGGGTCAGGAGGGGTCACACTTGACTGGATAACTCATTACTACTACTGACTTACTCAAACAAGATTAGACTACTTGTTCTTCTAGAGTAGGATGTCGGCAGTATTGTTTATTAACAGACTATTTCCTAGGAAGATTCTGTAGCAACCAATTAACTCCAATAGTAAGGCTGGCCATTCACTATTCAATTTTCTTACCAATTTCCTTTAGATTTACCTTTCACTATGCTGTGCAATGGCCTGCCTAATTAGATACAATTGAAAGTGTTGTTTAGGTTTGACCTCCTATTATATGGTTTTTGGTAAATCTAAAGCAAAAATCTCAGGAAAATTGTATAATGTATGGCCAGCCTAACACTGCAACCCAAAAATTGAAATGACCCCTTGACCATTTAGGAAGATATGATTCAGATGGCAAGAAAACAATTAACTGTCCTCATCTTTTCCGTCTACAAATCTATCCTAAAATTTAGTACTTGTGACAGGTTAGGCCTCATGACTCGGACATTTAGAGGCTCCAGAATTAAATTTCTGGTGCTTTCCTGCACCTAGGGAGATGCTGGTGGGTGTACAGCTGGCCATACAAGTAGATGGCTGCACGTGGCCGTACTGGTGTAAATGGCAATGCTCCTGTGTGTGTTTACCTGCACATTCGCTTGCGGGGTATTTCCAGAACATACATTTTGTGTACTATGCTGCACACACATGTAGGGATAAATACAGTTGCAAGAAAAAGTATGTGAACCCCTTGGGGTTACGTGGAGTTTTGCATGAATTGGGCATAAAATGTGCTCTGAACGTCATCTAAGTCACAACAATAGAAGAACACAGTCTGCTGAACATAATACCACACAAACATTAGATGTTGTCATGGTTTAATTGCACATAACATGTAAACTGGGATTCTTCTTTACCTCATGCAGCATTCTGCGCTGTGCTCTTGCAGTCATTTTTACAGGACGACCACGCCTAGGGAGAGTAGCAACAGTGCTAAACTTTCTCCATTTGTAGACAGTCTGTCTTACCATGGACACATGAACATCAAGGTTTTTGGAGATACTTTTGTAACCCTTTCCAGCTTTATGCAAGTCAACAATTCTTGATCGTAGGTCTTCTGAGAGCTCTTTTCTGCGAGGCATGGTTCACATCAGACAGTGCTTCTTGAAACCAGTAAACCCAAAACAGGGGTGTGTTTCTTAAGGGCAGGACAGATGTCAGCAACACATCCAATATAATCACACTGATTGGAGTCAAGGTTGGCTCACTCCTGGCTCCAATTAGCTCTGGGAGAAGTCATTAAGCTAGGGCCTTGCATACTTTTTCCTCCCTGCACTGTGAATGTTTACATGTTATGTGCAATTAAACCATGGCAACATCTAATGTTTGTGTAGTATTATGTTCAGCAGACTGTGTTCTTCTATTGTTGTGACTTAGATGACGTTCAGAGCACATTTTATGCCCAATTCATGCAAAACTCCACGTAATCCCAAGGGGTTCACATACTTTTTCTTGCAACTGTAACTGCCAATGTACAGGAGCATCAGCATTCACACCAATATGGCCCTGTGCAGCCATTCACTTGTATGGCTAGCTGTACGCCCCACCTGCAGTGCCAGGAAATTTACCATGGAGCCTCTGTGCCCGAGGCCTTACGACTGTCATTGTTCTTAGGCAGGATTTGTGCTATGTAAAAACAGAAAAGACAGAACAGTTACAATACAACGCAATACAATAGGCTTAGGATGGCCTTGCTCATGAAAGCTTAGGATCTAACATGCCTGATCAGGTCACTTATTACCCCCAGCATTCTCCTCCCTTTTCAATGAACAAAAAGGAAAATGTTTTTACTGAAGTGCGTAACAGCAGCCTCTTAAAGAAGACTCCTCGAAAACAATGAATGATCTTAATATGTGAGACCACTTCAGCTAAATAGAACACCCTATTGTACTGTTAACTGTCACCCCAGTCTACAAATATCCTCAAAGTGGCATTTATCTGTAAAGTTATTGGACTGGAAATCATGAGTGCTTAAAAACACCACTCCCTTCTTTCATTTATTTATTAAAGAGACCCTGTCCCCAGACCGTTCATTTCAACAAAAACTACCCATAGGCCATGGGGTAGATGTACTAAAAATGGTGCACACAGAATCTGGTGCAGCTGTGTATGGTAGCCAATCAGCTGCTATCTTCAGCCTGTTTATTTACGCTTTGACAATAAAACCTGGAAGCTGATTGGATTCTATGCAGAACTGCACCAGATTTTGAACTCTCTGGTTTAAAGCGGAGTTCCACTCACCCTGTCAAAAAATAAAAGTCAAAAACTGTAGCTGCTGACTTTTAAAAAAAACAGCCACTTACCTGTCCCTCGGTCCAGCAGTGTGTCCCCCGCAGCCCGATTCACCGGCCGTCAGTCAGGTATTCCACTCATCTTCAGTGTGGGCACCCGGCTGTGATAGCTTGCGGCTTCACAGCCGGGTACGCACTGCGCATGCGCAAGTAGCGCTGCGCTCCATGAATGGTCCTGAAGTCTTCTGGGACCTGTCACGTGTCCCAAAAGACTACAGGGAGGGAGGGAGGACACCTTCCGCTTCCGATCACCTAGGCGATGGGACCGAAAGTGGGAGCGGGTACCTGTCATATTCGGGTACCCACCCCCCCCCCCCCTAAAGGTGCCAATACTTAATGGGGAGCAGGGGAGCAGTCCTTAAAGCGGAACTTCCCCTTTTGGGTGGAGCTCCGCTTTAAGTATCTAACCCCCACTATGTGGACATTTATACCCATGTAGGCATGTTTTTTTACCTGCAAAAGCCTTTCTTTTGTAGACACTTAAAAGGCCTGAGACTGCTGCTGGGTGCCACCATCTTGGATATGAAGTCAGCAGTCCTAGCAAACTCAAAGCTTTTACTTAAATGACACCCAAAATATTCTCCTTCTCTCCTCCCTCAGCAGCAACATGAAAGGGAGGAGGACCTACGCCAATACAGACTGGATTCCAAGACTGGAATCCTTGTCCTTGTGGGCTAAACGACAGAAATCAATAGATTCCCCCATACATGTTATACAGTGTGGACGGAGGAACCTCCTCTGCTGGTTATTGCATTCTCACAGCCACTCCTCCTGCGGCAGTCAGAATACCCAAACAGTGACTGCATCTGACAAGCTGCAGTCACTGTTGAGTAAGAACTCTCTTCCCGACTCTGATAATTCTCAGACTGAACTTTGTGGAGCAAGGTTTTACTAACACAGTTAGAATTTCGACCAATTCAGCAATGCACATTAACATTTAGCAAAGCATTTATCTAGAGATGATTACTTTGCTAAATGTTTATGTGCATCAAGCCATCTAACTTAAAGCAGAGTTCCAGTTGATTTAAAAAAAATAAAAGTCAGCAGCTACAAAAACTGTAGCTGCTGATCTAAAAAACAGCCACTTACCTGTCCCTGGGTCCAGCGGTGTCCTCACCATAGCTGGTTTCACCGGCTGTCTTCTCTTCCTGGCGTCGGCGGCTTCACAGCTGGGTGCCCACTGCACATGTGCGAGAAGCGCTGCACTTTGTGAATGGTCCCGTAGTCTTCTGGGACCTATCACGTGTCCCAGAAGACTCCGGGGAGGGAGGGGGGAGGACAACTTCCACTTCCGAACGCCTTAGGCAATCGCAGCGGAAGTGGGAGTGGTTACCTGTCAAATTTGAGTACCCGCTCCCCAAAGGTGCCAATCCTTAACAGGAAGAGGAGGACAATGCATTAAAGTGGAACTTCCCCTTTTGGGTGGAGCTCCGCTTTAAAGTGTTACTAAACACAGGACCCTGTATTCACTATATCTGGTCTCCCACAGTACACAGAACATGGACTTGCAATTATTTTAGTAAATATAAACTGCAAAATACCTTTTCTCATCAACAGTTACAGCAGTCTTGTGACTTCTATCAGTGTTCAGCAGAGCACTGGTTAAAGCTTGTAGGAGGAGTTCTCTTTCTGCTCTAGGAGGATGCAGAACCCCTGACCTCTATCTGGACAGTGCAGATTGGCCCTGTGCTGATCACATGCATTCTCCCAAGAAAAAAAACCTCTAGCAATACACACCAAACTGAGCATGTGCAGAGTGTCTCCACACGATATGTCTCATCAGGAGATAAGAGGGGGATCACTGGAAGAAGGGGAGGATCAGAGGAGTCAGGATCAAACAGCCTTTTTACACAATGCAGAGGATTAACCCCTTAGGTTCCACAATGAGTATATAAAGCATGCTTTACTGCATATACAGACTGATTTTACTGTTGTGAGTTTAGTAACACTTTATGTCACACTTTTAGCAGGACCCCACTCCCACCACTGCGCTGTCATGCAAGGCACTACTCCTCACTACTATAGCAGGACCCTGTTTGCCACCACTGCACTTTACACTACTGCACTCTACTAGCCAACACTGCACCACTGCGCACTTCACTTTCATTTGCTTTTCTGTACTCGCCATTACCGCACCAACATGCACTTTTGCACTCATACTGATACAGCAGTATTACGTACTTCTACAGTTACATAGTTAGACTGGCTGGAAAAACGACAAAAGTCCATCCAGTTCAACCATTTTAAAAAAAAAAAGTTACAATCCTACACCCACAGTCACTAAACACTTTTGCACTTTCATAGCACTTTTGCACTCACCACTACTGCAATGACATGTACATTTGCAATCGCCAACACCACAATAACATTTATGTATTTTCCAATACTGCACCTCCATGTATTTCTGAACTAGTTGACAATGCAGCAATGTGGCCTTTAGCAGTTGCTGAAACAACAAAAGTTCCTTTTTCTGCAGTTGCCAACAATGTAACAATGGGCACTTTGGACTCACCAACACCACACCAATGTGCACACTTGCCAATACCATACCTGTGAGTACTGACACCACACACAAACATGCCCTTTTGCACTCATCAGTACTACAAAACACACTTTTGCGCTTGTAGAGATCGCAACAGCACGCTTTTCTGCACCTGCCAACCGTGCAACTGCACGCAATTTTGGCTCTCGCCAACACTGCAAAAATGCACACTTTTGCACTCACCAACACATATCCATATTAACATTATTTTGTCGTTATCCACAGAATACACACATTCTTTAAGATCAGTAATGTCCAGTTAAATCATATTCCATGATTCCAAAGAAGAAATGTCAGACAACAGAAATCAAAATCCAGCTAAAAATGACCAAATCGGCAAACTAACAATTTTGTTAGAAACCTGTCCTGATAGCTACTGCTCTACCCATATGAATCAGTGCTGGCTTCTTCCTATCTTCTCCATGCCTTCACCTCTCACCACTGACATGCATTACACACAGGGGCAGACTGACCATTCGAGCACTCGGGCACTGCCCGAGGGCCTGGGGTCAGTAGGGGGCCCCATGAAATGCCCCTGGTACCTTTTTTAAAGGCTTTTTTGAGTGTGGGCAAGGACACAGGGGCCCCATGATCCCCTATTGCCCGGGGGCCCCATGAGTTGTCAGTCCGCCCCTGCTTACACATACTCTTCAGTGCACTGCAAGTCACTTATCCAGAGGACAGCCAGACTTTGCCTGCATGAATGACAGCCCTCCTAAGTCTATATATGGCTTTAGCTAGGTTCACACTTGTGAGGCTCTGTGAGCCATGTTTTGCCTGGGCATGACAGCCCATTCATTTGAATGGGCTGATGTGCCTACTGAAAATGCAGAGAAATGATCCCTGTACTATTTTTTAACCACTTCAATACCGGGCACTTTCACCCTCTTCCTGCCCAGGCATTTTTTTGAGAGATATAAGCTTTCTTTTGGTGGTATTTGAACACCACTGGGTTTTTTTATTTTTTTGCGAAACAAACCAAAAAAAATCCCAAAATTTTTAAAAATATTTTGTTTTCTTATTTTTTATTATAAAATTTTGCAAATGAGTAATTTTTCTCCTTCACTGATGTACGCTGATGAGGCTGCACTGATGTGCACTGATAGACTGCACTGATGGTCACTGATGAGGTAGAACTGATGGGCACTGATGAGGCTGCACTGATATGCGGCACAGATAAGCAGCACTTATGGGCACTGATAGGCAGCACTGATGGGCACTAATGAGGTGGCACTGATGAGGCTGCACTGATGGGCACTGATAAGCAGCACTGATGGATACTGATAGGCGGTACTGATGGACACTGGGCACTGATTGGCACTGACAGGCCAAACTGATGAGGAGGCAGTAATGGGTGGCAATGATAGGCAGAACTGATGTGCACTGATTGTCACTTATTGGGCTGCACTGATAATCAGGGCACTGATGATAGGCAGCAATGATGGACACTGAGAGGTGGTATTGATGTTCACTGATAGGCAGCAAGGATGGGCACTGATAAGTGGCACTGATAGGACAAACTGGTGTGCACTGATTGCCACTTATGGGGTGCACTGATAATCACGGCACCGATGATAGACAGCACTGATAGACACGGATAGGCTGTATTGATGGGCACTGACAGGTCGCACTGATAGGTCAAACTGATGAAGAGGCAGTAATAGGTGGCCCTGATGGGCATTGACAGGTGGCACTGATGGGCATTGATATGCAGCACTGATGGGCACTAACTGTCACTTATGGAGCTGCACTGATAATCAGAGCACTTATGATCAGTGCTCTGATTATCAGTGTAGATGTCCCCATGAGAATCAGCAGTTACTGGCTCTCTTCTCATCATGCTATCACAGCACATGAGGAGAATACTTCTGATAACTGAAAAGTCTATTTACACTGTGCTCATCTGTGATTGGACACAGCTGATCACGTGGTAAAGGGCCGCTGTGAGATTGAACCTTTACTTCTCTCTGTGATCATAAAAATGTATGAAGGTGATTAAACATTAATTCACTCATAATCAGTCATTTATGTCCAGTGGCCCTTTAAATGTAGAACTACTTACATTTTCTTGTGGACATACAGGGTATAAATGACATCTTGTATCCTCTGCTGTCACTTATTGTTAGCTGGGGAAGCAATTCTTCCTGTGGAATCATTATGAGTAAAATCTGAGTCATAGTCATTACCAATTCTTTTATGTTTTGTTTCCTATTATGCCAGTTTTAGAACACATAAATATGATGTTATAGATGCCTTCTACTGTTGTATTATTAAACTATCATAGTATTGATCCATTATATTGTTTGAGGCTCTCTGCTCTGCTGTTTGCACTGCAGCCATTACTATACGGATTACTTCAATGCAATAATACCATATTTTTACATTTAAAATACAGCATTGTAAAGTAGATCAATATATAATCTACATGTAGAACACCGTAGATTATGCTTAAATTTTAAATTAAAACACAGCAGGACTTTAATAAGCCGCTATTTAAAGAAATGTATTAATGCATTAAAACAACGTGATTAGACGTTTTGCATGATAAAACCATTTGGCCTATTTTAACATCTAATAGGAACAACCATCATCTACTTAAAACATTTCTTAATATTTAAAGCACATTATGTGTTTCAGTATATGAATACAGTTATGCTTTGGTGTGGTTTATTTGTGGTGTGGTTTGCTTGTGGTACATTTGACCTTCGTAGGCACCAAGACCACAGGAACAACCACATGTCAATCTTTTCAGGAAG